AAAAAAAAAAGTTAAAATGTTTTGTTACTATCTATGAATACTGCTGTTTTCCTCTCATCCTGAAGATAATCAAAGCTTCATTTATATTCCTCCTGGCATCTCATTACAGCAATGGTACATGAAAAGTGAACCCAGCTCTAACTTTGGTCTCATCCCTGCCTTCCCTGTAACCGAGGCCTGTGATGCTAACTGAGCTCTCCTGACCTCAGAGCACTAATAGACCACAACCATGAGACTGGTGCAAGCTCCAGAAAGCAGAAGGGCCACAGCGAGTGATCAGATTCCACCACTCATCTTGGTGGGACCCAGAGGCCCCACCCTGCCACCACCAACCTGTCCTCTTGCAGTTCCCAGCACCAGGGACCCACAGCAGAACACTGCAGGCCACCAGGCACTGGGGGCCACATGCTCGAGTTCCCAGAACAGGAACCTGGGCTTGAAGAAGGTCAGCGCAGCACTCAGCGAATGGATAAACTGAATCATCACTTCACAAAGCTGTGAGCCCATGCACCAGACAAATCTCAACACAACCAACAAGAGACCATGTCTCACTGCCTTGAATAACTCGCTCATGTCAAGAAATACAGTAAATTGTTGATATCAACAATTTTCCCATCAGTTCGGTAACTCGGAAATCCAATTGGGAAACCAGCATAAGGCTACAGAAAAATCCAATGCAAGAGAAAAACCTTGCGACAAGCTAGTGTCACCCGTGACATAGCCCAACCCAAGTGACTGGGCTTAGGGTCCCAAGGGACACCCTGAGTCTGCAGGCATTCTGGGATGTCAGGCCTGGAGGGGAGGAGCTGCTGTTACAGGAGAGGCTGGGAATGCTGCTTAAAATCTACTGTACACAAGGCCACCTCCCCTAAAAAACGTGGAAGCATTGCCCAGGTTGCAAAAGCCCAGTTTAAACTAACAGTGATTAGTCATGAGGTCCCATAGTCTAGAAAACTCTAAAAGCCTACTGCCCACTGCTTCCTGTGTAATCACAAAGCCCGAGCACATCCTGACCTGATAAAGCATTTACAAATGGGGACCAAGGACACTGTGTGCGATTACTGATCCAGAACTAAGTGTAGGCAGCTATGGTAAGCTGAACTTCCTGAATTTAAAGAGAAGTCACATGCCCATGCTGAAGAAATACTCAGTCTGCCAAACTGGTACATGCGGAGTTGTTACAGTACCAAGAAAAGTTCATGATGGTCCTGTGGGAACACACTGCATGCAGTCCTTTCCCAGCATCCAGGTAGCTTCCATACCTGAATATCCCAGCAGTTTAGTCTACATTGCCCACCCAAACCCACATAATCCACTAATGTAAGTTAAGGCCAAGGTGGGCTTTGTCACGAAAGGATTATTACCCAGTGCTTCCCTTTCCCTGCACATTCATTCACAAGCAGAGAAACCTAAAGCTTTCAGAATCAAAGCCCAGCAAGCTAGGACCCCACAGCGCTGTCACACTCCATTTGCTGAGAATAATGGAAGCACTAACCCTCAAGACACCCACCACCAACCAAAGAAGAACCACATACATAGGGAAGGAACTTAAGTACAGTGCCACACGACTGGAGAAGGGGAACTTATTTTTATGCAAGCCATAATCCCAGATCTCTGCCTACCTGCTAAAATTCCCAGTCATCTGAGTGGGGAGGGGGCAGGCAGCACCATTTTCTTAGCTACTGTAGAGGTGGGGGGGCCAAAACCCTGGTCTTCTTAACTGTAATGATCAAAACTCATTCTTTCCCATTAACAGAGAATCAAGAACCCAATTAACACGCAATTCTCTCACTGCACTCTTGTGATTTGAGGAAGAACACAAACCAACACCTTCAGCTACATTAAAGCATGGTAGGTGTGGTGATGCATGAGGCTGAGGAATGAGGAACAAGGTCAGCTTGGACTGTATCTAGCCTGAACAACGACGTAGTGAGACCTTGCCTCAAAAAAACAACAAAAATTAAGTGTCTAGGTAACAGATACAACTCAAAACTCCCTTTCAGGGCCTGGGATTTAGCTCAATGGTTCCGCCAACTGCCTCACAAGCACAAGGACCGAGGTTCCCCAGTACAAAATAAATAACGGCTAGGGATTTAGCTTAGTGGTTTCAGCACCTGCCTCGCAAGCGCAGGAACTGAGTTTGATCCCCAGTACCAAAAAACAAACAAAAATAAATAAATAAAACCTCCCTCTCAGTTTTGCTTAGTTTGCCCTGTTAGCATCCAAACTTTTCAAACCCATTATCAAAGTACACTCAACACTTGGCCTCTGGGTCACTATCTCACACTTGCCGAAGCCACTTGGTTAACTCCAGTGACCACCACAGCACAGTGCCAATCTGCACAGGGAAGGCAGCAAAATGCAGCCACGTGCTAGGTCATTCAATTTACTCATCTCCTTTTTATATGGGGGGGCAGGGATTTAGCTCAGTAGTTCCACCACCTGCTTCTAAAGCAAAAGGACCCCAGTTAGATCCCCCGTACAAAAATAAAAAGGAAATAAAGCTGTATAATTTTCATTAGACACCAAAACCAGGAGGAGTCTTCTATCAGTCCTCCAGTATTCCCAGATTTATTTTCTAATTAATGGTTGCTTCATCCAAAGATACTTCTAAAAATCGAAGTTTTCGGCAAGACTCCTGGTTTCTGAGAGCGCAGAGATTTTAAATTTCCTTTTCAGACAGTTTTCTGCATAGAAGACTGTGGTTCACAACCTGCATTAATGCAAAACTAGTGGCTCCAAAGGAGCCAAAGGAGCACTAAGAACAGGTTCATGTATATTACAACGGCAACCTTAGCTTACTGTACCAGTAATAAACTCAAAATACATGGGGCCTGCCTGCAGATTACAGATACATAAGCCTTAAAAATAAAGGCAAAAGTCAAGTGTGGTGGCACAAGCCTGTAATCCCTGCATTAGGGAGGTGAAGCAAGACCTCCAGGGGCTAGAGACCTGATTAAAGTGAGTTCAACACCTAGACTACGCCAAGATCCCCGTCTCAAAGCGCTAAAAAGGCAAGTTCACGAAGTATTTGCACATCCACTACAAATCACACAATTCCCACAACGATGGAGCCGTTTCACTAAGTTGTAACCAACATGGTACATACAGGCCCAACTTAATGGGATTTCCTCAGCTGTTTGGGCCCAAAAGAGGGATTTCTCAAAGTGGAAGAGGCAGTTAGAGGCAACAATATCACCACTGTTTCTTGCATATTAAGTGGATTTCAGATTCATCTTCCGATTATCGGAAACCCAAGGAAAAACAATTTTGTCCGTTTTTGTGACAGGGCCACTCTATGTAGCTCAGACTGGTCTTGAACGCAGAGCGATCTTCCTGCCTATCGAGTGCTGGGATCACGGTTAACGGCCAAGCTCCTCAAAAACTTAACGCCAACTTGTTTCTAGGGTTTCCAGAGCTTAGCCCGGGCCTGACCAGCGTTCTGCCCAGGACCAAGCGCGGGACAGGGACCACCGGAAGGTCCCGCGAGCCTGGCCCGACCCCGGCGGGAGGATAGGGTTGCCAGCTATCGGCAGAACGCCATCACCGGAGCAGAAGCCCGGGGTAGCGGTGCCCACGAGCAGCAGGCCACGAACAAGGGGGGAAAGGAGCGCGGGACCAGCTTTCCCTCACCTTGCCGTGGTCCTCTTCCTGCGACTGTAGCGACTCGGGAACCGCGGCCATGGCGACGCGGGGCTCGAGCAGGGGCCGCCTGGCTGCGCGAGTAAAGAAGAGGCTGGGCCGCCGCCGCCAGGGC